TAAGCTGAGACGATGGTTGATCTCTTTTCTTCCAGACTATAAGAAAACAGGTGCCCATATTCTGTACACATAAACATCTCTCCAGCTCTCCAAATTACGACGGGAAGATATAAGCTTCGATACATGCGAGGTGGAATGCAACTTTCCATGATACTCTCTTTAGTCCATGATTCTACAACTCCATATTCCTTCATTGACCAAATATCTAACACAGGAGGGAAAGCAATTTGATAGATACAAAGGCAACCCCTCAAAACCCCCAAACTCACCCGACCATTTCCAACTACCATACCACGAGGTTGCGGAACAGGCTGGATCTTTTCGTCACCAATGTCAAATGAATACAAGAAGTCACCCCTAATCATATAATCAGTTATCCAATGCAAAGCTCCATTAACAGTAACTTCACAAATTCGGTATCTATCATATATCCGATCCATCAATTGCCTAGCATGCGGAAGCGGGGCACTTTCCTTTAAGACCCTCCAATCATTATCCAAGCCAATTGTACAAACCTGAGCTTCAGTCTTACCCGGATTCCATTTCCTATTAAGAATTCTAAACACCTTATACTCTCCCGTTTTCGGACTAAACCCAAATCCATACGCCACCTTACTGTCTTTTTCCTCTACATTTGACAGTGGGAGCATAGCATATTCCCCAAGCAATGGATTACACAAATACACCTTATACTCATGCTTATTTAAACTATAAGCAGAAAAACAAAGCAATCCATTGCTAGAACCAAACAAAGTCACAGTCCACTCATTAATCCCATCTGGGATTCGAAAAATCTTGGGACTATTTCGGGGAAGGCAGTAGTTATAATCCGCTTTGAGTTCAAGAAAACAAAAGGCAGACTTTCCAAAGGACATTACAATACTACTGAAAGGTGGGTTTGATAAATAAACATTAGCAAAATCCGTTTCTGATGAAAAAAATGTGTACCATGCCTTGCAAACACGTTTGCAGCTGAGAATTGTGGTGACTGGAAGCCTTGAAAAGATATCAATCAAAAGGCATGTGGGAAGGTCAAGAACTGAGGCTGTAATTCTGCAGGAAATCCCATATTCTGCTCGTGAAAGGGAGCCAATTGAGTTTAATCTTCTTCTTTTCCACTCCATCACTGGGAATTGAAATTTTCTACTCTGCAATGGGACCCGGTTTCAATTGATTATCGAGAAACTATTGCTTATCAATTTGGGGATTTTAAAATTGTGAATTGTGAATTTGCGGACTACGGGTTTTGTAGGAGGGAGGTGTGGGTGAAGGGAGCTCACTTGGGCTGGATTTGTGCTTTAAGTTTGATGGGCTATTTGTCAACCCACAAAATCCATCTTTGTGTGTGTGTGTGTGGGTTTTTGGCGCCCTTCTCATCCACTCCCCTTGTACCCGAAAATATACAACATATGGATAAATAAGGAACAATGAAAAAATAATTAAGGCAAAATTTGATTAGAGGAAGAAATTTAAAGAACGATGAAAAATATTTAGCTGGATAATTTGTGAATTCAAGATAATACGTAAAGTAATGAAGTAATGTCTCTTCTTAATTTGATATATTTTCCATGAGGGTATAAATATTTATTCTTTTATCTCCCTTTTCTATTAATCTATTAACCTTATGAGAAGGGAATAAAAACTTCGAAGACTATGCAGCCACTATATATAAGAACAATTAGATTGTTTCACATTTCTTTTTTGTTTCCTTTTTTAGTAAGCATATAATTTGCTGGGGATTGAAGTGTCTGTTATGGTTTACTTACTCTAGAAAGAATTATTAGTGTGCTGACCAAAATTAAAGATTTTCAATTATTAAGTTCCCTTGCCAAGTTAGATATCCCAAAAGGAAATTCCTTGCTATATATTTGCTAACTAATGAATACATCGATTCTCTGCCATATTAAGCACCAAGGCAACTACTAATATGTATATGATAGCTAGTGTCATTTAGCCAAATATCATGTATGAACTTTATTCAGTATATTTAGCTACAAAATTTACCAAGAAAAAGAGGGTATCAATCAAGCTAGAAATTTGAGATGGCTTGTGTGCTAGGGGTGTTGCTTTTTAGTATTTATTTGTATTTGTTTAGTCTTTGCATGTAATCCAACAAAAGTAGACTTAGTTGATGATATATTTGTTCCAAGTCACTACTGGATATTCAATATTATTGTAACCAGACTCTACGAGCAGCCCCTGGTTCTAACACCACAGATCTTCCAAGTCTAGGCCAAATCGTGATTAATTTGGTAAAATCCCAAGTACAATCAATTCAAGCTTTGATCAACAAGATTGAGGGACGAGTAACTAATCAAACATTGAGAGATAGATTAGACCAATGTCAAGAGGATTTCACCGATGTCGATGATATGGTGCGATTTTATCATTTATTTTATTATTAATTTTCCCTATTACATGACCCGATGTGGATTAATTGTTAAAATCTACTCACTTTTAGTATTTTGCATCTATTTCAGGGAGTAGAACGAAAATGTGATAACAAGTGTCAATTTGACAGAAAAGGAATCCAGATGATAGAGCTTGTCCCGAGGATAATTTTGGAAATGAAGATGTTACGCCATTTTGGGTAATTTTGCGGAAGAGGGCAGCGGACACAGGGCCTTGGATTCATGGGAGGTGCCGCCGCACAGAGCTTGGGCAGCAATTAGAATAAGAATGGTGCAGTGGAGAAAAAGCACTACCTTTAGCTCCTTTAGCTTAGCTTTGGATTTTCTCCTTTAGCTTAATCTTGCTTTGACTTTTCCTTCATAGGTTTTTGGTAGCTTTTGTCTCCTCGGATGTGAGGAGCAACTGGAGGCAATTGAGTGATTTTCCCCCCTGTAGCTCTAGCTTTGACTTTTCCTTTTAGCCTTGAGTAGTTTCTTTTCCTCCGTATGTTAGGAGAAGCAAAACAATCAAGTACTTCCTGTAGCTTTTCTCTTTAGTGAGTATTCCATCGAATTAAGTTTACCCATTTTCCAATTGATGGCTGCAGTTTTCTCTCCAATTTCCTGTGGGTTTTGTTCATCAAACATGAACAAATTTTTCCACTCTAGTCAAGGGACAACGGAGGCTCTGATTCACCTAAAAATTGTGAGATCGATTTAATTTTATCTTTTTCTTTATTTATTGGTATTCGCATATTCCTTGGTTGCAGTGCTTATGATTATTTGATTAATTGATTGTCTTGGATTCGGATAATTAGTTAATTTGGTAATCTATTATTAATTAGGGCATTAAATCCGTAATTGTTTAATTGCCTTGATATAGTGACAACTGACATGATTGAGTTTGTGTCAGGGGAATACGCGGGCTAACATAAAATAACCCTGGTAGTGCGTTATTTGGTTAGAATAGGGCTCCTCTAATACGTAAGACAATTGGGGAATTAAATCTTACGGGCGTATCTAAAATTATTTCTCAATTAGAGCAGTGATTAACGGGTGTACCTTAATCATCAACACAGTAAGGAGGGGTTGACTGTCATCGCTTGTTTGGCAGTTATAACCTATTTATTAATAAATAATTGAAATTGCTTGTGCATCGATGATCAATTGGGTAAACCATTGTTGAAGTTATTTCTTGGCTAGATCCTTAATTATCACTCATTTGATTTTAGTAAATTGTTATTTAATTTCTAGTTGGCTGTTTTATTTTTATTATTTTACTTTTAGTTGAATTGCTTAAATTGTCACCCTTGATATAAAAACACCCCCCTTATCACTGTGAATTTGAAAAGAAACAATTACTCCCAATCCCTGTGGATTCGACCCTGCTCATTGCTATCTACAGAAATTACTTTTAGTTTGAACAGGTTTTATTATTGCACAGGCTGACAACTTGTCAGTCGAAGGCGAGGTTGATGGTTTCAGTGATCTCTTGAGTAGCAAGGACCATGCAGGTCTTGTTAACAGCGTTGATTCAGTTGATGATAAAAGCTACTGGTTGTGATATAGCTTTTGATGATGGACAGCCACTTGAACCTGACGAGCGGTGCGTTTGATAAAATTGAAGTCTAAAATATGAATTCATTAATTTATTGAATTGTTAAGTATTAAATTTAATATATTTAAGTGCATATCATATTGAGTGATAAGTGAATAGTTTATTACTTAATTTTAGGAGCAAATTTGATCTAGAAAATTCAGTGTCACTTAATTAATTCAGATGTTTAATTTTTAGTTATCAAACGGTTTGAATATGTTAAAGTTTGAATCTATTAAATTTAAGTACCGAATTAGATTATTAAACAGGGCCTTCGCTTAAGCAAGCCAGCAAACATTTCCAAGTTCTGCTAGAAGCTGTTGGCAACATTGCAGAGACGTTAGAGGGGCCGGGAGTGTAAACATTTTCTTGCTTGATCAAGCTGTTGTAATGCAACATGCAATAATATTGATTTAATTGAAATAATATTTTTTGAATTTGGTTTTTCTCTGACTTAGTGTAATTGTAATCCAACCGCCAGCTCCACATTCCTTTTGGTTTGGTGTCATAAAAAGGAAGGGACAAAAAGAAGAAGAAGAAAGAGGTCCTTAGTGATAACATATTAATGCCATGAAAATAGAAACTGATAAAGAACTCCTAGTGATCAGATCACAAACGGCAGTTTCAATTTCCTTCTGTCATTGAGTCTATCACAAGTCCACAATCCAGCCAGGAATTCACTGTCTATAAATCATGTTGGATTAGAGGAATTACCATAAAACTTGGGAAGTATTATTACAAATTAAGGTCAAGTTATTGAGAAAGAAGGGATGGCAACAACTTTCTGTAATTTAACAATAGATCGACTGGCTATTTCTGAAATTTATAGTTAAAAGGGTACTAAACTATACCTAACATTTATCACCTGTATAAACTTTCAGAATTTTCATCATGAAGACTATCTTAGGTACTGAGAAAGAAGGGTACTACAATTCACGAAATTGGCATTTAGAGAAAATGCAATTTATTGATCCATATTTTTTATTCTAATTGTAACCTTATTCAATGAGTTACTTTAACCCTTTTTTTTTCATTTCTTGTTACTTTTTTAAAAGAAAAGCCATTGCTTCTCTCTTCTCTGTAAAGGAAGAACAATGCAAGGTACATAAATTCATAAAGTTCATTTTCAAAGTCCAAACCACAAGCAATGACGAAAAATAACATCCCTTTTGACAAAACACACGTCTCACTCCTGTCTTGAACCTTCAGCATTTGGTTGGTGCAGCGAGTCAAGGAAATGGATTCACCAGAATTACACCTTAGGAGTCTGCCATTTATTCACAACACAAAAACTTAAGTAGTGGTTGAAATGAATATAATCTTTGATATTAGAAGGAGATTTTGATATGTCATGGATTTCAAGAAGATTGCAATTGAATTGTGTTAGGTATAATGGTTGTGTACCTGCTTTAAAGGTTTTGGCTCTTCAAAGAATTGAAGTTTGATCTTCTGGAGTGCTCTTAAAACATCTTTCATGTTCATTCTGTCCTCAGGAGAATATGTTGTACAATATAAACCAAGTTGCAAGATAGATGATATGCAAGCTAACTTACTCTTGACTAGTTCATCTTCAAGATGAAGTAAGTCCGCATCCATAACCTTAATCGCAAAATCTGGTACGGATTCTTCTATCCAACGCCTTAGGCTTAACTCTTCGGTGAACATCTCATCTTTAGGCCTTCTCTTTGTAAATGTCTCCATCAATGTAATCCCAAAGCTATAAACATCACAACTCGTTGAAACCAATCCTTCTAGTCCATACTCTAACATCAATATTGAAGTTCATGGTTAAATTCTTGTATTAGTATTTCTTCACAACCAATATGGTGCAAATGTAATATTAGCTAACTGATAGTTGAAACATTCTTGATTGACATCACATATTAGAAATTGGAGTCGAGAAGAGGTTCATACCTGGGGCAATATATCCAAATGTAGCGAGGGTCTTTGTTTGTATCACATTTTCTCCATCTCCCAGTAATTTCGTGATTCCAAAATCACAAACATGGCCAACCATATCTTGATTAAGAAGAATATTGCTAGGCTTCAAGTCACAGTGAACTACTGGAGTTGAATAACCATAGTGGAGATATTCCAAACCACAAGCCACATCTATCATAATGTCCAACCTTTGCTTAATATTCAAGATCTGACTGCCTGAATAAAGCCACTTCTCAAGACTTCCATTAGGCATGTATTCAAGTACCAAAGCTTTAAAGTCAGGGCTTGAGCAAGCACTGATCACTTTAGTCAGATTTCGATGACGAACACTACGTAGGACTTCACATTCTGTATCAAAGCTTTTAAACGCACCTTCCAGCTGCAAATCAAAAGTCTTTATTGCCCAAGTCATCCCATTTTCGCGTACTCCCTTGTAAACCGAACCAAAGGCTCCCGAGCCAAGTAACATATCTTCATGGAACCCATTTGTCACTTGTCTAAGTTCATGGAAGGATACCCTTTCAATCGTTGCTTCCGCAACAAAATTAGTTGGAATCACAATTTTTCTTCTCCACTTTCTTATCACCAAAATTGACATGACCATGGCAAACATTGTTGATCCAACCGCCGACAACACAAACAAGAGAGTCTTTTTCCTTGATCTATGTTCAAAAGTTTGACAAGGTTGGACCCATGGAGCATCACATAAAGCTTCATTTGAGAGAAAAGATAGCTCCGTAAAGTTTGCAAAAGGTCCTCCATGAGGAACTGGTCCTCTTAGTTTGTTGAAGGACACATTGAAGTGTACAAGATTCTGGAGTAGCTCCAGTGACTTTGGAATTGCACCAGTCAAATTGTTAAATGACAGATCCAAATACTGTAATTCCAACATGTTCTTCATGGAATCTGGAATAGGTCCTTGTAGTCTGTTATGCTTCAAGGATAGTTCTTCTAACATCTGTAGGGCTCCAATTGTTGAAGGAATGTCACCATAAAAGTGATTGACAGATAGGTCCATAATGGTCAGTGCCTTCAAACTTTGAATTTCAGGGGGGAAAGAACCTTGGAAAGTATTGGTGGACAAATTCAGCTCCAAGATATCGCTTAGGCTCCACAAGTTTGAGGGCAACTTAGAAGTTAAATTATTGGAATCCAGATATAGATATCTTAGGGAAGTAATGTTTCCTATGCAACTAGGAAGTCTCCCAGAAACCATATTGCTGCTCAAACTTAATCTGCCTAAGTTAACCAAATCACACAGCTCACTTGGAAAGGGTCCTTGAATTCTATTATAACTAAGCTCCACTTTCTGTAGCTCCGATAACCTTCTAATACTTGCTGGATTTATCCCTTCCAAAGCATTCCCACCCAAACTCAGGTCTGCCAAGTTGGTTAAATTTTCTATTGAACTTGGAATTTGGCCAAAAATTCCACAGTAATTCAAAGAAAGTAATCTGAGATTGTTGGAAAGATTTCCAATAGAAGTTGGAAGGAAGCCATTTAATGGACTCTCATCTAATTCCAACTCCTGTAGATATCTGCAATGTGATAGGGAAATCAAGAGGCTTATTTCTCCAGAGTTAGACTTATAAGAGAAACTGTTGCTTTTAAGATCTAAGACTTCTAGTAATCTCAAGTCACCAAGAGAATGAGGAATTGCACCAGTAAATTGGTTAAAACTAACGTCTAGACCAATGAGACTTGAAGCATTTGAGATAGATGTCAGTTCAAGTACTCCACTTAGTCTGTTTCCCCCAACATAAAGATATTCAAGACTGGGTAACGTAATGCCTAAAGTTGTTGGAAGACCGCCTGAGAGACCATTTGCTACCAACGATATTGCTTGCAATGATGAAATATTAAATAGTTTGGCTGGGATGGGACCTGTAAACCTGTTTGAATCCAGTGCTAAATACTCCAACTTGTTAAGGTAACCAATTGCCTGAGGTATCGTCCCTGAAGATCAAGCTTAGAAGTTATAAGATGCTTGACATGATGCTACAACCTTTTAGATGTTATAGGCACTTCTTGACCCTTAATTGTTTTCCAATATGAGAAGCACCACTCTATTCTTTGCCTTTAATATTTAGGCATATTCACCCCTATTTTGTGAAAACTTCGTGTGGTTATTTAAAATATCATGCCATGGATGGTAACAACTTGAATTTATGAAACTTCCAAATTCACATTTGTGATGCAATTTAAATACTAAAAGAAATGAAGCACCAAAAACATAAGTGAAAAGAAGTAGAGTCACTATTGTACTACTCAGAGTATATATCAGAAAATGTAAAGCAATGCCTGCAACGAAGAAGTGGAATTTTAGAAACAACAACTTGGTCTTTAGATTAATAGAAAAAGTAAATTTGAGACATGAATTGTACTTTTTGAGACCGCCTGCAGAATATTTCTTTTCTTTTTCCCTTGTTCCCCCACAGATTCCAGAAAGTCTCATTTCAGAAACATGCACCCCCCTTCCCCACCCCCGAAAACCCCCCGGGGGAAAGCACAAGGTATAGGTGCTTATATATTTTCTTAAAAATGCAAGTTAATATTGTGAGACATGCAATAGTTCAACTCTGCATAAGGACAAGTGTGAATAATACATACCGGTCATTTCATTGTTCCTTATGTCCAGAACCGTAAAATCCTGAAGATTGTAAATATCTTCTGGAATTTGTCCTGCACAGAAGATCATGACTGTATACTATATGTATTTAGGATATGCACTTGCAAAAGAAAATTGGTTCACTTTTCTTCTTTGTCTCTTTTAAGTACTGCGCTTCTAAATAATTTATTTGAATCCAAAAAGCTGTGCGAACTTTCAAATCGTCTATGCCTTTTATACTCAGGCCTGAGCATAGAAAACATGTATACTGCATTTGCATCCCATATATGTTTAATATATGTGTTATATGTGGGTGGAGTGTGGATTTGAAGTTTGGCCCCAGACTATAGGGGCTCAAATAATTCCCAGTCCACAATTCTCTGGTTAGGTTTGAACTTTTGCAGAATCCAGTTTTCAATTAAAATTTAGATCAAATTCGTCACAGAGTTCATGTATCTGATGGGTAAACCCAGAAACGTTGACATTAATGGAACTATATTACCTACCTTTAAGATAGTTTTCTTCAAGATAGACTGTCTGAAGCATGGACAGATTCCAAAATTCTCTCGGTATGGATCCAGTGAATTTGTTGGTGGCGAAGGAAAAATGTTGAATCCTTGAACATTTCCCGATACCGGAAGGAATTTCACCTTCAACTTGGTTGATTGACAAAAAAAGCCCTTGGAGTTGAGGGAGATGATTGCAGATATGTTCCGGAAGGGAACCAGATAAGCTATTATTTGTAAGACTAAGTATCTCCAGTGAAGAAAGGTTAAACAAAGACGGGGGCAGAGAGCCTGTAAGTTGGTTATGTCCTATGTTTACAATACTCAAGTTCTTGAGGCCACTGAACTCGTCAGGAATGTTTCCAGTGAATGAGTTGTGGCCCAAGTTGAGAGTCTCCAGCTTGGTTACATTAGAAATCCCACATGACATTAGCGAACCCGAAAAGTTGTTATATAAAAAGTTCAAGACCCGAAGTTCAGGCAAAGTCGCCAACCATGATGGAAAGCCTCCATCAAACGCATTGCTTTCCAGGTCGATGTATTTCAATCGGCGCAAATGAGACAGCTCAGTTGGAAGGTGTCCATGTAAGCTGTTATTCACAAAATTCAGCCGGACGAGGAATGAAAGATTTCCCAATTCTGGGGGTATGGTTCCCAGTAGCCCCATGTGAGGAAGCACGATGGCCGCAACTCTTTGATGGCGAGCGTTACAAGTGATTCCAATCCAGTTGCATAGAGAGGTAGAACTGGACCAGTTGGTTGGAATGATGTTTTGGGGATCTAATATGGTTGCCTTCAGAGCAAGAAGAGCATCCAGATCACGAGTGTTATTTTTAGTGGCAACAACTCTGAAACCGCCAGCAATTGTGGCAAAATGCATCACCAGCAAGGCTGAAAGCAAAAGGAAATTAGCTGCGTCCATGGTTATTTGCAAAATTTAGCTTTGTGGGCTTGTGAAATGGAACCAAAAGAACACGCTTGTCATATAAATGTATAGAGGTAGAAGAAACGTCTTGGGGAATGAAGAGTCTAATTGGATTGGGACTTTTCCCAACTTTGTTTCTGAAAGGGTTTTTAACGGTCTGTCAATGACTTCTTTATCGTATTTACGTCGTTTAATTAATAAAAGTATTATATTAATATTTTTTTAATAATTCAAATATCATCGTGATCCTGAAAATTCCTTATACTATATAAAAATGAGTTTAGAGTAAAGATGTTCTTTGGATTTCAACCGTAAGGATAGGGCTATTTTGGGAATGTAAAAGTATTTGAAGTGCAATTGGAGTATTGAATACAAGTCATTATAGCTAATTTAGTTTTGTTGTAATTACTTAGATGTCCTTTTAGACATTTAAAACTAGGGGTGACAGATATCCATTGAACACTAGGTATAACTAAATTCAGCTTGTGTTTTAGTGAATAAAAATGAGTTTAGAGTAAAGATGTTCTTTGGATTTCAACCGTAAGGATAGGGCTATTTTGGGAATGTAAAAGTATTTGAAGTGCAATTGGAGTATTGAATACAAGTCATTATAGCTAATTTAGTTTTGTTGTAATTACTTAGATGTCCTTTTAGACATTTAAAACTAGGGGCGACAGATATCCATTGAACACTAGGTATAACTAAATTCAGCTTGTGTTTTAGTGAAATTACATAAAAGCCCTTCTAATCATTTAATTGTATTAACATCCAAGTCTCTTAATTTCCTAAAGCATTTCTCATCAGTTATTTGCAAACTTATGATATATAGATATTAAGACACAATTAATGCCAATTAGTAGAGAAATTTGCTTTCTTGGCCGTTATCCCCATCTGTTCAAATTCATTTCATTTACTTACAACTTTTTTCCACCACAATCATGGATGTTGCTAAATTAGCCACTCCTCTTCCCCATTTTGCAACACCTTTCTCAATAGGTATGTTTTATTTAGCCAATCTACTTTTTGGTTGTAAGAAATCTCAATAGGTATGTTTTCTTTAACCAATCTACTTTTTGGTTGTAAAAAATCTGTAATCTTGATGGTTGTATGTGCGATAATTTTTTAGTGTTTTAATTCAATTGTCCATGTTAGATAGGCATGATAGGGAGGAGATCACATTTGTTAATTATTATTTGTGGTTTAAAGTAAGTTTATCATCATAAATTTTTCCATATGCAGATTGCATCTACTTTTGTTGTTTTAACTATTAGTTATGATAATTTTCAATTGTTTGTTATTTTATTGATGATTCCATTTAGGCAAATTTTTCACGTCATTTGATTTGCCAATAGGTTTAGCTATCTACTTAGAACTATTTGGCTACAAATCTAAAGTATATACTTCATTACTTTTAATTGTTTTCTTAAATTGAGTGGTCTAAGATGTTTTAGTACTTTATTTGACATGGTTATTCCTCTAAATTAGCATGTTAATTGTTGTATATCTTTGCAACTAGATAAAAAAACTGATGTGTAGCGATTGTAATCCCTATCGAGAAGGAGATGCTTTACTATATGTTCTAAATTATACAATAAATCATAATTGATTGATTGGTGAATGTGGAGGTCTCGTGATGATATGTTCTTGGAATCAATATAAATTCAAGAATTTGGCTTGCAAGAACCGAAATTCCACTAGCAATAATTTTCTTCAAATATGCTAATTGTTCAAATCTCACTTATATGACAAGATAATGTGATGGACTGCCCTTATATTAAGACCAAATTCAAACTAAACAATAGATTTTAATATCCATAAAGCGCATGAGCAGATATAAGTAGGTCTTTTATTTTATTAGGTTAGGTGCAAAGTAGTTGATTATATCTTATAATTCTGTTTCATTACATATTAGTATATTTTTTAACTCAATATGTAACTTATGATTTTTCTATTTAATGTCATATATTAAAATTGTCATACTTCAATTCTTATACCACAAAATACCAAATAATAATTATTAATTATCTTTAATTATAGGCACTAAATTCCCGCGCGTTGTGCGGGGTTTTCCCCCTAGTATTGACATATATATAAGTCAAAATCGGTATCAGTTAGATTTAAGATGAATTAACAGTAGATTTTGGGAAAATTAATAGTGAAAATTATTGGCAATTTTTCAAACTTCTATTTAACTTTCTTATTTTCTTTTTTTGTAAAGACCTTCATGCCCCAAAAGCACAAAATTCAAGATGAAATAGTATTGCATGTATTTTTTTCCCCGCAACAGCAATAATCTACCCTATTTCTACACAAACTTACGCTATGGGGGAAGGGGAGCTCAAGGGAACATGTATGGGGGATTTGAAGTGAACCACCAGATTAGATAAGTGTACTATTAAATTTTTGAAATTTTAAGAAAGGAAAAACTATAACTTTTTTGTGATACAGTAGACCGGGTTTGAATCCTCAACATAATACACGAGAGAGTTTCAAAGAGGATCTCCCTAACTATTGGACGAAATCCTAGCAAATTTTCAAACTTCTATGTAACTTTCTTATTTTCTTTTTCTGTAAAGACCTTCATGCCCCAAAAGCACGAAATTCAAGATAAAATAGTATTGCATATATTTCTTTTTCCACAACAGCAACAACTCCACCCTACTTCTATACTAACTTATACTATAAAGGAAGGAGAGTCTAAAGAGACATGTACAAGAGGCTTGGGAGTAACCTACCAGATTAGACAAATGCATTTCTATACCCTGAAATTTTTTTTTTTAAAAAAAAGCACTATACTTACTTGTAATGCACTAGACGGGATTTGAATCCTTGAGACCTAGCGCAGAGAGAGTTTTACAAGGATCTCCTTAGCTATTGGAGCGAGGCCCAATGGTTGTATTGCATGTACTTAATGCGCATGAGTTCAACTACCCTTGAATTTCCCAAGAGAAAATAGCATGAAAACTCCAGTCACTAACGCTAGAAAAGCCATAAAAGGTTCCGCATTCGTCATTGTCTATTTTGAAAAATAATTATGTGCACATGAATTTCCAGTCAACTGCCTTGTATGTCTTGCAAGGTTGAAAAGACTACCAAACCTTATTCTTCCACATAATGAAGCTTGGAAAAATTATTGACAGTCACGTAACATCACAATCGCGACGGACGTCGTCGGACACAGGTTCTTTGACTCTTTCTCAAATCTAAACTGAGCACTTATGGAGAGTTTTGTCAAGGTTGTCATTTGAGTGAAGGGGCATGGACAGTTATAATTCGAACTGTGTTACATATTTTGAATAATCTTATATTTACCATTTTATACATATCTTCTCGTAATAGATGTAAATCTAGAATATCATTCTATGTTCCATTAAAAACATTGTCTACGGTGTCATTTGAATCTTACATTTGTTAGAATTAATTTGGTCTACTTTTGACCCTTATTCTCTGTCCCACTTCAAAATTTCCTATGAGTGATAGTCACTTGACACTGCAATAAGGTCATAAAACATCTATCTTTACTTAAGACTTGTTAACAATGAGAAGGCAATCTTGACAAAGACCTCCCGTTGATGAAGACCTGTTATTCCAAGAGGGTTCAAGTCTCAACTCTTTTTTTTTTTTTAATATTTTAATATATTTATTTTTTATAAATAAAAATTTGAATGGGTTCGACTATAATGACTAACACGGGCCAAGTCTCAACTATACTTCTCTCTTTTTACAGATGAGAACAGGTTATTAGTATTTTTGGGGAACATAGTCCCTGTTTGGAACCTGAGTTTTTTGGGAGTTTGTCTAAAACTTTACTGTAGTACATTGTAGAAGTTTTTGAAAAAATTTTGTAGAAATTTTTGTGAGGTAAAAAATTTTTTTGTAGAAGTTTTTGAAATGTGAAAAATTTTAAGAAGTTTTTGTAAGGTGAAAAACTTTTTTTTTCCTTTTCTTTTTTTCTTTCTTTTTATCTTTTTCTTTCTTTTTCTTTTTCTTTTCTTTCCTCTCCTCTTCTTCTTCTTCTTCCTCCCCCCTCCCCCTTCCCCGTTACCTCTCCTCTACCTCCCACCTCCAGCACCTCCGCCGGTACCACCTCTATTTTTTGCTTTTATTTTTTATTTTTTGCTTTTCTCCTCTCCCCCCCTCTCCCCCCCCGCCACCCTTTCCTCCCCTCTCCCGCGCACCCCCAAACTTTTCCACCATTCCTTTCCTCTCCCCTCTGCTCACCACCCCCTAGGCCCGCCACCCCTCTCTCTTCCTCCCCCGCCACCCCATCTGCCCACTCTCCCCCTTTCCTTCTCTCTCCCCTCTCCCTCTCCTCTCCCCCCCGCCTCTCACTCCGACTCCCGAGGAAGGCCGGTAGTTGTGCATTTTTTTTTTGCTTTTTCTCTCCCTCTCTTCCCTCCTCTCTTCCCCTCTCCCTCCTCCGCCACCCTCCCCCTCTCTGCTCTGCGGATGTGTGTCTGGTTTTCTTCTATGCCTATTGACCGCCTCTGCTATGTACTGAGTAGGAGTAGTTAATATTTGACTGAATTCTTCAGCTGCGTTAGCTTGAGGGCAGTAATACTAATAACTAATGAACCCGATTGTCCCTTTCTGCTCACTGTCTCCTTGGTTCCTGTCTCCTTTTCCTTTTCCCTTTTTCACCGATGAGTTTCTATAAAGAGCCCACAGGAAATGGGTGGTGAGAACGTGGGATTTTGGGGCCGCGATTGCACATGCCATGTCTCCTGCTTCCTTCTAGGCTTCTTTTGGAGTTTTCTCCCTGACGGCACTAGTGAATGGTTCAAATGTTCATCGTTCAACCCAAATGAAAAATAAAAAAGGAATGCTTGAACGTGCGCCGGGAGAGGGGGTGAGGGTGAGGGATTCAAAAATCTTTTTTGAGGTTACCGGCGCCGGGAGAGGTGGTGGAGGTGGCTGCTGGTGTGGTGGGTTGGGTTAGGGAGGAAGAAAAGTTTTTGGGAAATTT